TGTTACAGCTGTTACATTGTCAGAAATATAGTTTCCTTTTCAACTACTTCCCTCCAAACTAGTTGGAAAGGAAGCTACATTTCTGACATTCTATAATGCAAATATAGCATTTCTGTCATCTTCCATCAATTACGTCTTGCATCTCTATCCTCGCTCAAGGCTTGTTATTGGCTAAATAATCCATGACAGTAAAGTTCATATTGCTTCTGCAAGAAGTTCCATCTTTTCTCCACCAAATAAACTGATGATCTACATTAAAGCCCCCATAGTATCTCCTGGTTTTTAAAAGGTAGTCAAGCCATGATAGCTCAGCAAAATTGTCTTGATTAAAATGAAAACTTCATGTTAACATGAAATACATCTGTAATCTCCCTTCTCCTTCTGCCCTCATATATTTCCTTCCTGAACCGATATTCCTGTCCCACAGTAATAGTTTATGTCATACTAAACGCACTTCATCATTCTTCTGGATAACTTTAGCCTTCAATAGGTGCTAATGGTAGCACTGTAGCTCATTCAAGGGCAATTCAGTGGCTATAGAGCTACTGCATTGTAATTGTTAATCTTAAATAGTCTTGGATCAAGGAGAACCAGGTACAAATCTCTATTTGACCATTTAGCACATTGGATGACCTGGACCAGTCACTTTCAGCCCAATTTCAAAGGACTGCCACGGATGGAATGAAATCAGGAGGGCTATAAATCAAGCGGTATATAAATACTAAAAACTAGGTATTGTGTTCTCATTGACTTCATAGATAAAATTATGCAGGATTGAGTCTAACAGAGATTTCAATGACTTATTTCCAATTGATATTCATTGTGCAAATGTATTTACTTATGGGTAAATTATACTAACGAAATTACATCTAAATTATATTTGATTATAAGCTTCCTTGCCTCATATAGATTCATAAAAGTGAACCAAATATCAACAACAAAATTCTTATTTTTACTGCACATTTGTAGTAGTGGCATTAAGATTTCCCAGTCCTATTAATGCACAGGTTAGTCAATTTTTTATCTGTTTATTTTATTAAATTTATTTGGCTCCTATCTTGCTATGGAGCTACTCTAGGTAGCTTACAATAATAAAAAGGAAGAAAATAAAAGGAATATAAACAGAAGTAAAATAATATAACCATTAAATAAACAATGAAAAAGAACACGAGAATACATCAATATGACAACCCAAAAGATGGATGTCTGGAGAGCAGAGAGCAAGGAGGGAAGATGGAGTCTGCCATCAATTCTGCAGCCACCTCCAGTGTGGAATTCCCCCATTTGGTCACCAGGCAACCGACAGAGCCAGGTCTTCAGGCAACCCTGTCCAGTTAGGGGTGACCAACACTCAAATCCTGAGGCTCAAAGCACCCAGTCTTGCCAAAATTCAGTCTAAGTCTGTGGTCCCTCGTCCAGAGCTATTACTTATTTCAACTGTTAATCCCCAGCTCTATCATGCATTATCAGGTTGCTATTAATTAAATCTAGAGAGATAACTGTGAATCATCAGAGAGAGGGTTTTTTTGTTTCCATTTTTATATTACACGAGATGACGAAGATAAAAAAAATATTTTTTCTAGTTCATGTTATTTTTTTTCTCCTAAGGTTTGCAATTTGAGCCTAATATCTTTTAATATAATCTTTGTGCTTAGAATGGTGAAATCTTGAACTGGAACTTCTAATTACTTACTTGTTCTCCCTGTCCAGTTTGAACAATTTCCTTGCTATACTATGCACAAGTTTCAGAAAAATTGCAAATCTGTTCTGCATTAATATAGCTTCAAAAACAGCATATCATTGTCTGTCCAACCTGATGCATATTTACACTGAAGGAAGCCCCTTGCATTAAATACAGGCATTGGTATGCAGTAATATTTTAACATAAGAGAAACTGAAGAAAAATACAGTCTGGTGAAGGATGCTATTTATAGTATCAATATATTGAAAATCAGTATGCAATCCATGCAATCAGAATGCACAAACTTTTAAAAAAGAATTAACTAACAATAATATTAGCATACATTTCAAATACTGAATCTTTGTTTAATCAGACATTCCTTCAGAGGGTTCCCTTTTCTTTTCCCAGCTTAAGGTACACTTCAGTGCAGTCTTCATCTAATCCAGAATTTGAAATATTATAATTAGAATTCCTCATAGAATCAATTAACATAATAATGTGCTGCTCATATTAGCAGTTGTAATACATTAACAAATGGAAGAATCTCTTTAATGAGTGTAGATAAGTATAATGCTTTATTTATTTCCAAATATTTCATCACCAAATTAGGTGTTTCCATGCAAGAACATTAACCTCCATCCATGTAATATGTACACTACAGTGAAGTTATTTGAAAAATACAAAATGCTTAGCAAATTACGATTGCCATGCTTTGTACATTTATTAACTTCGCAATGACTATATTATTGTTACTCTTTTTGCATGTATTAACATAACAATACTTAGATTACCATATGCTTGCATAATAGGATTAGAATTTCAGTTTTAAAAGTATGTACTGTAAATATATTACGGTCATATAAATTAGTTTTTAAAAATACAGATACAAAAAACCCCAATCCATTTAAAATTATAACTTGATATTTCTGACAGATTAAAACCATTTTAAGTTTCAAATGCTTTGTAATTTGAGACTATGCTAAGCAAATATGCCTGGAAATCTTGAAATGCAGATAACAAGGAAAAAATCCTATTGTTCCATTTTATTCCAACATTTTTCAAATTCTCCCTTCTATTTCTCAACAATTGGGTTCATACAACATGCTTACCTTAACTATCAAATGAACTCTTTTTCTGGGTACTCATAACACACTGCATTTTTAACTAAACAGCTGGGTTTGTGCAATAAAAAATAACTAAGGTTAAAAACCAGAAGCGATGGCAAATCACTTCCAACACTTTATCTAGAAAACTGTAGGGATTTGTCCAAGGAGTCGCTAGAAGTCAAAACAAAAGGCACCAACTTCCCCGCCCACTGAGCTCTAACCATGTTTAATTAATTATGTAAATATAATAATCAGATCTTTAACTTACCTGATTAACGATACTATGTCAACTGAATCAACAAAAAATAAACACAGGGTTCAATCTTGTGCTGATATAAACTAGCATATAGGTCTGCTAGTACAGTATATGATAGCATTGTAAGGCTGACCTTATCAGGGTAGGAAGCTAAACAGAATCAAGCCTGATTGGTATATAAATAGCACATTATCAGGAAATGACAATATGCCTGTATGCTCTATACTGGGAGGTCCTGAAAGAAGACCTTTTCTTCAGTGTTGAATCCACTCATTCACACACCATTTTTAATATTATAAAAACGGGCTTGAGTTCGGCTCAGTGAATTATTGGATATATCTATATATATCCAATAATTCACTGAGCTGAACTCAAGCCCGTTCTTATAATATTAAAAATAACTAGAACTACTAAAGCATAATTAGCACATTACTGACAGTGTTAATTTTTTAAAATAAAATATTAAATGAGGTAAGATTGCCATTTATTGTCATTGAAATTTCAAATTAGTTTTCCATTTATTTTTGTATATTTCCCACTAAAAAAGTTAATAGAGGCAAGTAATGAAGACCTCTATGAATTTCAAAAGAAAACTTTTTCTTAAGAAGTATTTGGACAAGCAGCCTTAACATTGTCAGTAGTAGCAACAGTTTGACAAACGTAACAATATTAGTTGAACTGGCAGGCAAATTCAGTCTCTAACCACTATGTCATTATATAATTTTTGAAACATAAAAGAAAAAATAGTAACTAATGTAACAACCATCAACAAGCTAACGGGCATTCATCTTTTTAAATTTGACTTCAATTGAATTTAAGATTCAAGCATAAATAAAAAATATTGAAAGCAAAACACACAAGTAAATTATAACATATACAAGTCTTGATGCAACAATAACTAGTTTGGAAATATAGGAATTAATTCAAACTTTTTTTGTCACAATATATTTTCATTAATTAATGAAAACTATGAAAAATAGTATACAATATGAATTTTGGAATTCCTATGTTTCAAATTAAAAAAGCAAGCATTTATGATTCCTCTTTCAATAAGCAGCTTTCATCAGAAAATTCATCCTGCCCATGAACAAGAAAAAAAACACAACTCTCTAGAAATATGACCAATATTACACAAGACTGATGTTATAGCTGAAAAGCAGATGGGACAACCACACAGATATGATGTTTCTAATTTGCTAGGAATGAACTGTCACTTCCAAAATAACCCATACACAGGTTGATAGGAAAGACGAGTATCATTACATTCTCTAAACCAGGGGTGTCAAACTGGTGGCCCGCGGGCCGGATGAATCACATGCAGGCCACACCCACCCTGGCTCCACAAAAGCAAAAAACGTTGCGATACATCACATGCCGTGATCAAGCTTGATACCCGGGCTCTAAATCAAGAAAAGTTTGTACACAATTACAGAAAGTTTGATTGTTCTGCAGCTAGATAACAAATAGTTGTATCAGTGAAGGCTTTCTTGAATTTAGACAATCTTTACAGTACCTCATGCTTAGCTCCCACTAAGAGAATCATGATTCAGTTTATAAAGATACATGGCTCAGTGCCTAACTGCTGCTGGAAATCAATAGCCAGTCCATACATTCAAGGGAATATATTCAATTGATATATACAATGATTATCATAAAACAGCTTTCCCAAATTTGTCTCCAAGCTCACTGATTCTATACCAGAGTTTCTTAAACTTGACAACTTTAAGATGTGTGGACTTTAACTTCCAGAATTCTCCAGCTAGCATGGCTAAAAGTTCAAGTCCATACAACTTAAATTTGCCAAGGCTGAGAAACACTTTTCTATGCTGTTCATCATGGAGACTGGGAATTCTGGGAACTGCACTCTTAACTATATATAATTTATAGAATTAACAATAGAGCTCTATGGCTCAATATGAAGGATTTTTTTTTCTCTATGAAAGAAAATTTGCTTCTTAACAGTAGTATTGCATTTCTTTCCCTGAATATAGTATTCTGCACTCTATCAGAATTCTGTTCAAATCATAGTTACAGCAATTGTGTTCTTTTGATAAATATATACTAGCTAAATAGCTTTAAATAAAAATGAGGTAAAATTAGTGGTGTTTGAAAATCAATGACTCAATGTTTTACAAGTTAAAGGAATACATTACAGACATTACTTCTCACAAAGATTCTAAATGTTTCTTGTGAAAATGTTCTTGTTTAATATTCCAAGAAGGTTATAGAATATCTTTCTAAATTGAATGAATTTCATTCTTCATCCAACATGGAGAAAGCACTGGCCCTAAGAACCTCCATGCAATTGACCAGGATCAGAGCTCCAGTTATTTCTCGCCACTGTTTGGTCACAGGATTTTTCATTTTGTCCAAAGCTAAATGCAGGTCTTGCAACATATCTCTGTAGCTGTCTCCATAGTGAGCACTCCAGGTATAGAGAAAGTCATAAGCTGGTTTCCACATCATCTGAAATTTAACAAAATCATGTTTAGATGCAAAACAGTTCAGTAATAAGTGGACAAAACTGCATACAAACATTTGAAGTCAGATACTGAATTGTGTCTGCCTGCTATCTTTCATATACACATCTGGACCTCTGTGCAGAAATTTATAAAACACAATCAACTATCTTGCTTTTATGCTAAATTCAAGTCAGTTATATAACCACGCTTTTTACAACACAGAACATAGCTTAAAATATGTACTCACAATAAGCTAAATATGTGAGAGAATATACTCAGACATAGGCAGGCCTTGAAATACCATGGCCCCACCCTAAAAAGGGCTTTGGGCATCAAAGTGGTATTTTGATCTGGACCCAGAAATATAGGGATAACCAGTACAAATAAGACAGCAAACCCAAACTGGGAGTTATAAGAGACAGCATGCTACATAGAGAATCCCATCAGCATCTCTAACTCTAGTGACTCAACCCAGCAAGTGTATTCTGCACTCATTGCAATTTCAAAACAAAAACAACATAACACAAGCTAAATCAAAACGTAACGTGGCAGGATGCAGTGTGTGCTACCCATTGTACATTGTGTATCATGCACAATTCCTGGCAGTTGCTGCAGCACAGATAACCATGATTAAGCTATCTTGCAATTTTGCTGATCCTTTATATTTTTATAATTTCATGGCCTTTCAATGCATTATGCTTTATACTGCCTTTTAAACTTGTTATTACTTTAGATGAACTTCATTAAAAGTATAACAGATACAAAATAAAAATACTTCATACTTAATATACTAACGGCAGCTCTAACTATTTGACAAAATAATGGTTTATTGGTAACTACAATTACCAAAGGTATGAAATTATTATCAGTGGAAAGTGGGTAGAATGTACACATAACAACTTCATGCATTCTTAAAAGTAACCATAATGCTTTTACATATTGATTCAAATAACAGATATTATGCAGATATTATACTGCAGAAACTGACAGCTTAAAATTCAGTCATGTACAAATACATATTTAATATGAGAGTCCAGTTTTAATATGGATCCAAGCAAACCAGGAACTGAAAATAACATTCTTATTTATGCATATTACAATTTAAAGTATAGCTATCACTGATGCTTTAATTTCCATCACAGAATAAAGGACTGATGCAACTCTATGATTCTACAAAAAGATTTATCACAGTAAAAGTTTGAATGCCAAGAATCATCTTAAATTTATACTAAAACTGAAGAAATTTAAGAATTTCTAAAAATATAGAAAACTATAAAGAGAAAATACACTATATTCTAAGAAGAATTAAATGAGAGTTTACATTGAGGAAAAAGAAGAAAAACAATTGGTTATCAAAACTAAAAATAGTCCAATTGTCAAAATTTAACCAATCTTACTTAAATCATCCATTTCATCAGCCACCTAGGACTTGTATAGGTTAGGTCAATCCCTTCAATCAGGGTATGAACAATAGTATTCCAAATCATATATTTAAAAAGTATTAAAACTCTCTTGTCTGTTTGTAACCTTCAATTAGCCTAGACCAGTGGTAGGCAACCTTGGCTCTTTTATGACTCGTGGACTTCAACTCCCAGAATTCCTGAGCCAGCATGCTGGCTCAGGAATTCTGGGAGTTGAAGTCCACGAGTCATAAAAGAGCCAAGGTTGCCTACCCCTGGCCTAGACAGTACATTATAGTGCTGCAACTATTGAGTCAAGGTATCTCAAATTCATTAACTTAAAGAATATGTACAAAATCCAGAACACGTTAGTTCTGTGGTAACTGAAATTTCAAGAATCTCCCACACCACTTTTAATCATAAATTTGTGGCTGCTGCAGTTCCACCAGTTAACTGCAGTCACATGATCGTGATTTCCGATATTCCCAGCCAGCTTCCCACAAATAAGGTCAATGGGGAAGCCAGCAGGAAATCTGAAGTCACTTTGACCCCTACTGCTTTTTTGCCCTCTTATGGTCTGTCTATTTATCTCTTTAGATAGGGAAATATCTCTGAAATAATGACCCAACAGGTTATGGATTGCCTAGTAATTTCTAAAGTAAAAATTCAGAAGTATTTGATAGGTGTTTAAGATTGAAAAAAAATAATTTGAAAGAAAGGTTATACTCACTGTATAGAGAATATATTCTCTTATCTCTATCAAGAGTGCTAGATAGTTTTTATCTCTTTTCAACACTTATTTTTATTTAACTATAGGTATTGTTAATAGTGAGACCAAAAACGTATTGTATTGTACATACTGTAATAAAGGGATGAAGGAAAACTGTGAATTTATCATGGAAAGTTGACTCCCTCTCTCAGGTTTCTCTTACAATGTCAATTTTCAATTTAATGGATTGTACCTTTTGTAGCAAATGAATACAAGAGAAATATCGTGAGACTTACCTCTGGAGCAACTTCTCCATTTTTGCCATGATGGGGAGTTTCATAAGCATCAATTTGTTGTTTTGTAAGTCGTGCTAATTTTTCTGCCAACTCTCTCCAGCTCTTCCCAAGTTTTACCGCTGCAGTAAAAATAACTGTATCCTGAGTAATACGGGCTACTAAGCCTTGGCAGTCTAGCTTTAAAAGTGCCTGCAAGCACAAATGTGATAGTTATGTTTTCAAACAATTTTTAATAACAAATAATTATAGTACAATTATAGCATAACCGTTTGGAAGCAGTATCTTTTTACGGTCATTTTACCCATACTATTTATGAATCTGGGTTTTTTTTTTAAATAGAAAAGTGGTCTAGAGATTGAAAACAATTGTTGTGAGATTTTAGACAGTAGATATATAAGGATTATACATTATGTTGGAATGTTCTTATTCTAACTGAAATTTATCCTGATGCATTATGGCTTGCTTAGCTGCAAGGATGGTAGAGAAGAATAGCATAAAAATCAAATAACCTGGCATCTCTCTCTCCCTCCCTCCCTCTATCTTTCTCTCAGCAAGGGCTATAGTCATAAGATTGTGACTTAAAAGTTACATGACAGCTAACCTAATATTTAGGTTTTTTCCATATTCTCTTTTAAGGCTGCTTAATGTCCTACTTTAATGCCTTTGACTGAGTAAGGTAAGTAAAAGCTTGAGGAAGTGAACAATTCGAAGGTTCTAAAAATGTCATCTATCATTAGCAGAAACTGAATATTTTTATGTAAGAAATATGCAGGACTGGGAAAGTGTCATGGATCTCCAGCAAATATGAATATTATTTCCAAAATATTTTCTGCATAATGGCAATGCACTTTCTGGACGTATTGGAAAGCCCCAAACCAAGTGATTTGCAACATTATTACTCCATAACACAAAAAATAGCACTGTTAGTTACATAGGCCTAACTCACGCAATATGATTCATTAAAATACATTTATCCAGAAATGTGCAGGGAACTGTGTACCCTATGTCCCTTTTTTCCCTTCAACTATAATCCTACAAGGTAGACTGAGCAGAAAACAAGACCAAAGAAGTTTAAAGTAATAAAATGAGGTTATGTGGCTACAGGTGGGCTTCAATCTGAATCTCTCCTCTCCCAGTCCAACACCTTGACCATTATATTAAATTGACTCAGCTATCTTGTTTGGTTCCTACTGACCTCAAAATTGGGTAAACAGATTGGGGAAATTTATTGTGTTGTTTGCATCTAAAATCCCTGTCCTGTCCTCCAAACAGAGTTGGATACCATGGTTTATACTCCATGTCACATCTTGTTTGACACCATGTATCTTGGCTTGTATGCCATGACTGTGTTCTGCTTATCCATTCTTATGGGTTGAGAGAACAAGAAGCAATTAAACCTTGCCAACTATGAAATGAAAACATTCCCAATGATATTTATTACAAATGTACTCATATTTTAAAATACTGCCATTTTAAAAACAAATATGATTTGGCTTGACTGTTCATCTATCTAATTAAAAGGATGACATATTCTTAAAGAATAAATGTTATAAAAGAAGAGATAGAATCCTTTTCCTGTAAGCAATTCTTATAACTGTAGAGAAATAATGAGAATTCCTTAGGTATCCCTTGACAATGAGAAAAGCCATGCTTGTTATTTTTAAGCTATATGGCTTTTGTAACTTTCCTAACAAGCACTGTGACACAGAAACAAGAAAAGGTTTTTTTTTTATTTCTATTGTAAAACTTGGCACTCTTCATTTCTTCTTCCTACCTTCCTGATTTTTTTTCCTTCTTTCTTTCTTATAGTTACAAAATATTTATTAGTTACAAAATATTTATTAGTGATATTACAGAACCCCTATTTTTTAATGATACATGTAATTGTAATATCTGTAAATCTAATTATATTAAAATATGGGAATTGCACAAGACATGCAGAAATTTCCCTGATTATAATTAAAACGGATTTAAATAAAGGAGAAAACAGAAAAGTATACATTTTTGAAAGAAAGAATCTGCTGAGTGATGATGGTGATGATGATGATAGTATTGGTAAATACTTTAATCTTATATTTCTTCACATAATTGAAAGCAAAACTATCCTATAACATGTATTATGTTCAGATGAGACATTCTAAATGGACAAAATCCTCCCATTTATGCTCCAAGACATTTTTGACTATCAAGTTCCATAAAATTCAACAAGCATAGAAAATCTCAGGGGTAAAACAAAGTTGTACGTGGTGGAATGAAATGGGTAATTGATTTATTTAACTGATTTATTTGCAATACTTGTGTGGTCACCATCTTAAGAAACACAACTCTGGATGTTTGATAAGAGATACATAAAACCAAACATTATAGAAACGATAAAAGCAAAAAATATTGGCGAAACCACATTTCCTTGACCTTGCCAACACCACCATCTTCCAGTGAACATGACTTCAAAATATATTGAAGTGCGAATTCAGTACCTGCCTGTAAGTCCTTATAATAACTATTTCTTTTCCTGTGATTTTGTAATGCAGTGGCTTTAAGCCATTGCAAAAAGGTGCTACATTCACCATCTGATACTATATACCCATTATCATTACCTGATTAGCAGGAAGTCCAATTTGATTTAATGCTGGATGTGAATGTGTGTGTTGGAGGAAAGGGGGGTTAAAAAGACAAGAGTTTCAAAATACTAGTATTTTCACATTCAGCTTCGTCTAAACAATTTCATTATAATCCAAACAAACCTATAAACACAGATGGTGAAAATGAAGTACCAAGCCAGATTATTTTAAGTTGCATTCCAGCTGCTACTCACCCAAGACAATCTTTCAAATTTAAAACCATCATTGCTATCAACTCACAAGCTATGAGCTAAAATAGGAAGGCCAATATCATAACAAGTCACATTAAAGACTTATGTCTTATTTGCCTCCCCTCATCCGACAGCCCATCTCAGCAGTACTTACCACAGAGAGTTCATATAGGAATCGTCTTGTGCTTCTATGAGTATGGCAAATTTCTTTAAGTTTCTTCATAATATACGCTACTTTTTCAGACTCTTTTTCAATTTGTAATGCATTTAAATCATAACGGGACAAATCTGAAAATTGAAGAGCATCAGCCAAAGCTTTCCAATCATTTAAGTTCTCTGATACTGTGGATAAGATTGTTGAATAGATATAAGTCATTTTTTTAAAAGGTAATGCGATTTGTTCAAGGAGACTACTGGTCATGATTTCACTATCCTCAACATCAATAGTTTGGTTTTCAGTTATCACTTTGATATTTTTGCAATGTACAAGGCCAACTTTTCTTCTAAGAACTCCTACATACCATTCCTTAATTTTTGTTTGTCCAATGGCTTTGACCTTATCTTCTCCAAGTATTCCTATTGTATCGCCTTTAAAATATTCTAGTAAATAGTCAATTTTATTTTGACGTAACACTGTTTTGAGTGTTGTACCATAACGGGTAATATTTAAAACCTTGTCTTGAAAGGTAGGATATTTTATGGTGGGCAATAATAATAATGGTGCAGATTTTATTTCTTTGCGTTTTTCAATTCGGTTTGGCTTGTTAGTTATTCCTATTAATAACTTAGGAGGTGGTTCAGGTGTTGTAATGTAAAACTGGCATGCCAGGTTATTTTCTGGGACTTTGATTTGAACACGGAAGACAAAAATATGTATTTTCCTATTGCAGATTATAGAAAATGGAAAATGACGGTGAATTACTCCACCACCTCCTTTCAATTTTTCTTCTTTGATTTCTTTCCTTTGTTCTTCTTTCTTCACTTCAAAATCTGGATCACAGGAGACAACAGAAATGCTGAGGTCTTGTGGTTTCTCCAGTACAAATGTGTGTTTCCCCCATAACTGGAAAATAACTGGAGGCAAGCTTTTTCCTCCCCTTTTAATATCACATACTGTTAGTTTCTCAGGAACATAGTTGTGATCAAACAAAGCAAACACAACAGTGAAAGACGGATGTATATGTTTTGGTCCATAAATCCCAACTGAAAGTTTTCTGTGGATATATTCCCAAACACTTACAAGAGAATTAACTGTATTTGTTTGAGCTACAACAACAATATACATCAAGTGACTAAGATCTGTTAGTTTCACTTGTACAGTATCTTTATAAATGTAACAATTGGGTGTTTTTTCAAATGGCCCTTCCTTATTGCAACTACACAGACAAACAATTTCAGTCATTACCTGACTAAAAGGATCCTTTTTTATTTCAGCTGCAGTTTTCATCTCTAGTAAAATAGCTTCAGTAGTATTAAGATTGCTCAAGGTAAGTTCAATCAAAGGGGTCAAGGTGGTTGAAAAGTCATCATTAAGTGATGGTGGAGAATCAAGGATTGCCTGCAGGCCAACTTCTTGGAATTCTCCAAGTGCCACATGACCTTCAGGGAAATGAACAGCAATATCTGAGTTGGGAAGCTGCACTGAACCACCTTCATAATTCACTTTGCAGAATATATGGGTTTCTATAGATTGGGTCTGTGCCCATCCAGGACCCTGATTTATCACATTCAAATCCAGGCAAGATCGGGCCAACTGTCGTTGATTCAACCAAGCTGCCTTATAGGCCTCACGTTGATTCTGAAATGCTTCGCTTTCTGGAGGTAGGATATAATTGGTTGGTTCTGTATTAGAAAATTCACATCTTACATCTATAATATCTAAAAGATCTGAAACACTCCTAGATTTTGCAGATCTTTTTGAAGGTTTGCGACAAAAGAAATATTCAATATTTAATTCATCTCCTGATGAAGCAGCAGAATCCCTACCATTGGAATCTCTAAAAAATAAATCTGGATCTTCTTTCAGGATAGATACCCGTGTATTATTTTTTTCTTTGTTGCATGATTGAGCTATGTCATCTAAAAATGGATTAGATGCTGACATTTCCTTCCAAAACGGATTTGTTTTAAACCCACCAGGGGTATCTTGCTTAAATTCTCCAGTCCAGTGTGATTTAAGATGCAATTCATTTTCCTTATTGTCTGTTTTTTGGGATCAGAAAGAAAAAGAGAAATATAAATTCTCATCTCAATTTACGGTATTTAAATAAACCTAGATTAAAGTGAAAGAAAACAATATTCATTTATCCACCTAGCTCATTTTAACTAGGAATTTCTCGGTCCATTTGGAAAATTATAATTTACTTCAGATTAAATTTGAAATACAAAAACACTAAATATAATGTTATCATTGATCAGTAGTTATTTTGAAAGAACTTACTACTCCCAGGCTGACTGTGAAATAGCAATTGAGCAAGTATAGAATGTAGTTCTACATTTTTTTAGGAGTAAGATCCCCCAGAATACAATTTGACTTAATCAGAATAAATGTTTAACATTTTTAGGATACAATTGTTATCTTCTTCAAATAGGAGTAGGCTTCAAGGTTCTTCAATGGTCAATGAGACAATCTATGAATACTGATGGATGTTACCTACCCTGGTGCCTAACAGTTTCTCTGATTAGGTTCCACTGACCAAAGCTCTAGGTATAAAAATGCACTGTTGTAGCCCTTGGGATATATATTACTCATGGTGAGATTGCACTAATAATACCAGCCCATAATTTCACTGTTGTTGTTTTTATAGCCAGGTGTCTGCCTTAAATTGCTATGTCCTGTAAGATATATGACAGGGAATAATTTGAATTTAGGTTTTGTCTTGGGATTTCTGCAGGAGGTTTACAAATTCTTTTCTCGCAGGGATGGGGATCCTATTAAAATGGTTCCTCCACAAGACATATAATCTTATGAATTAGTGAATTTTTCCAGAAAGCAGTGATTGTGATCATGTCACTTGCTTTGTTGACTTTGGAGTAGAAAAGCAAAATAACTCATTGAAATTATCATTGCTTAATATTTTATTCTATATAATGGAATGTTGATTTTGCTCCCTCATGAATTTCAGCAGAAGAACTTGGCACAGAAATAATGGAAGTGCTAGCAAAGCAAGACTTGCCATGGGCTGATTAGGCATGCAGAGTTCCTCACAACTGTACATACTGACTGGCTTCATGGAATGATTCCAAATTTTGAAATTATAAAACCAAAATGAACAGTTGATGAACTTGCCACTTTTACCACCCCATTTGTAATATTATATCTTTATCTTGATTGTCTCAATAGCAGTTGCCTGAAGACTAGCTCTGGCAAATAGCTTGAATAAGAGATCACAGGTAGCCTTCAACTTATGACTGTTTACTTAATAACCAGAGTTATAACAGACTTGCCCTCTCAAACCTACTTATGACCCTGTTGTCCCAAAAGTGCTTTTCCCAAAAAACAATTGTATTTACTTGTTTTTTTCTTTGAAAATGTTTTCAAAGACAAAGAGAGAAAAAGAGAAAGAAAGAAAGAAAGAAAGAAAGAAAGAAAGAGAAAGAAAGAAAGAAAGAAAGAGAAAGAAAGAAAGAAAGAAAGAAAGAAAGAAAGAAAGAAAGAAAGAAAGAAAGAAAGAAAGAAAGAAAGAAAGAAAGAAAGAAAGAAAAGGAAAGTCCACTTGCCCTTTTGGAAAAAGCACCTTGGAACAACCATGACCTGAGGATCTCCATTGGTATTTATGACCTTGTTCTGAAGCTTTGACATCTGCACACATTCCCATGGTCACATGACCACATTTTGGATGCTTGGTTCATTTTTATGGCTGGTTGCATCATTCTGCTGTCACATGAACATAATTTACGACATTTGTTTGCTAGTTTCTGGCAAAAAAAAATCCACAGGAATACATTTCTTTGCTTAATGATCATGACATTCACTTAATAACCATGGTGTTTGCTTAACAACTGCTGCAAAAAAATCATTAAAACTTTAGAGTCATAAACTGAGGGCTACTGTACTACTAATATGAATACGAGACTACTGAAAGTATAAAGGCTTACAGGAATAATAGAAATTTTAAAAAATCCAAAAGGTAATGGCAATTCCCCTGTCTACTGCCACAAAATCTACGTACATCTATTCATGAAATCACCAGAAAGTGAGATGAACGTATAGGAGGCTTTTTTTAATCATTTTTTTAAATACTAAATAATAATACTTTTTATTTTTATCATTTTTAATACTAAACGCCTCCAACTATTACAATTGCTGATTATTCATTCTGATCATTCTTCTCTGTACATTTATTCTCTAAAATACTCTTGACAAATTTTATTTGTTTATATATATATTTTTAAAAACATGAATTATACTGGCCTCTCTTCATTATAGTCAAAAGATTCATGCTGAAGTGGCAGCCATTTTTTATTTTTCCAAAATTCTCACCCATATTGAAAAATCTAGCTAAAACATCAATTTTACCACCATTACTACTTCTGTAGAATACCCATTGTTTCCGGGAATATGATAAATACTTTCCCCTAAAACCACATTTAACTATTTTTTTTTTAAAGCAATGGCTGCAGCGGTGGAGCAAAATCACATATAAGGAGTTTCATAATTTTCTATTTTCTTTGACAAAATATTTTTTTCTTTTTAAAATTCAACAGCAAATTACATTTTCTGTCCAAGTAGTAGAGCTGTCAGTTACATACCTGTCCAATCATTTCTTGTAAGACTTCCATCATCCAAGTCAACCAAAGATCCTTCTGATTTGCTCCATGAAAATTCCTTTAAATGACAGGAAACAGACATTTTTCTTCCTAGAAAATTTAAGATAAATTTGTAAACAAATGGAGAAATACTTAAAAGCTGCAAACATTATTTAAGATGAGGCATGGGAATCAGTATCTAAAAAATTTTTCCGGCATATATGTGCCCACATAGGTCTTCAAACAAACCACCCTCTTTATTAAGGCAATCTTTTCTGTGCAAAGAACAAAGAAGCCAATTAACAGAAGATTTAGTTTGATTTTTTTTATATTCTGTCTACATGTAATATTAAAGTATTGCATATGGTCTATTCTAATAGGCTATATGTTCTTCTGGTTTAAATGTTCAAAATTCTGTTGATGTGAAAAAGCAAAGCTAGTTGTTGTAGATAAGATAGACAAAAAAATTATAACAATCAAAAAACAACTTTTCTTCTTACAATAAATAAAACAGCAATAGATAACGTATCTCTTCAGATAGGTTGCAATACAACCGTATAGTTTGCTATATTGACTAAGAGATGATAAAATTCAAAATACCTAGATACTATTACTTTGCCTATTATATGCAACTATTATATAGTTACTAAAGAGGAAATTCATACAAAGTAGTGAAAATTATAAGACTATATACATCATTACATAATGGAATTTAATAGGATTTATTTTATGGGTATGCACAGAATTGCTCAAAGCTAAGAACAGATGTGTAGCTATAAGTTGAAACTCCATGTGGAGTTATGTTAGGTTAATTGACAAAAATTAAAAACTTGGATTCAAATCTGCCTTTAAGCATGGAAGTTAATAGAGAGATTTCTCCTATCTCTAACTAAATGCCCCGATATCCAGATGACATTTGTGTATCTACAAATTCCTTGACAAACTCTCTGGCTATCTAGTGCCTCTAAGTCCCATAATAAGCCCAAAAAAGTTTCACAGAAAATAAAATGTCTGATAACTACAATCTTGCTTTCTGCTCTATGGGCATTTGGGGATTGGCCAATTATTTTCAAAGGGTCCATAAAATACTCTCAAAATTCCAAATTTGTCCCCCAGTGAAAAATAAGTTGGTGACATTTGAAATTCTTATATACTAAAGAATATTAGTTTATTACATTAATATAGACAGTGTATTGAAAATTTTTAGGAAGATTTAAAAATTAATAATGCGCTATTAACTATGTAAATTTAGTAAGATCCTTTTTGTTTCTTCAATATAAAACTACCTTTAATTAATTTAATGCCATGAACAAAATATAATTTTCTGACTACAGTATTAGCTTATCTTATAAAAAAAATGCTATTGGCAAGTAAGTCTTCTTCTAATGACTTTTTTTAGAGCCAGGAATACTTGGCTGATTTTAGACCTTTATCATCAAATGTGTTTGATGTAGCCACAGTATGAAGTATTCACCTTATCTAATAAAAAAATCACTCTTCCTCCAATAAAGAATTGGGCCTATATTTTTATTGCTAAAGCACTATTAATCTTAAAAAAATAAAATCTGCCTTCCACTGATAAGAGAGAAGGTGCAGATACTTCTTCAGTTAATACCTGCTGTGCTTTCACCACAGCAGGTGGCAACATCTGCCTGACATTATCTGAAGCTAAACAGGTCTTATGATGGGTGACCGACAGGGAAACCCAAAAAATCCCAGAAGGTGGCAATGGCAAAACACTGCTGTATTTGTCAACCCCTTTAACCGAAGAGTATGATTTAGGAAGCAAGATTCACATGGACTTTAATTGGTTTTAAAGTCAAGTGTTAGAGATTAAAATTCAGAATCTTGATAATAGATAACGCTCCTTTATTAATGACATTATTAAGGTGGCCGGGGGCACTCTGAAACTTTTCAATGTATTTTTCCCAATTTAGTTTTATGAAAAGCTAAGAATCTTCTTTTTAAAAAGTCTGTACAGATAGTCCTCAACTTTATTCAGTGACTGTCTGAAGTTACAATAGCACTGAAAAAGTGAATTATGACCTGTTTTCACACTTATGGCCGTTGCTATATTCCCATGGTGATGTGATCAAAATCCAGTTGCTTGGCAACTAACTCATAATTATGATGGTTGCAATGTTACACAATCACTTTTGCAACCTTCTGACAAACAAAGTCAATGGGGAAGACAGATTCACTTAATGACTGTATTACTAACAACTGCAGTGATTCACTTAACATGTGTGGCAAGAAAGGTCATAAAGGGGGCAAAATTCACTTAATAACTGCCTTGCTCAACAACAGAAATCTGGGGTTCAATTGTGATCATAAATCAAGGACTATCTGTAACAACCTCTTCCATCTGCTAATGTATCCTTTCTCAGTTTTAACCCACTCACTTCTGTCACTGGGAGCCCAGCTCCATTCAAATAAGACTTTCCCTTGTAATTTGATCTCATTCTCTGCACCTTTATATCTGCTTCAGATTGGAGACCAGAAGAAATGAAAGCAAATAATTTAATACATGATTTTCTAAAACTCAATATGATGAACCATAGGTGGATAACAAAACTGAACCAGAAGAATAATATTCAGTGTGTTCTTGCTGAACTGAAAATATACTGACTAAAAAAAGTTTCTTCTATTCATTTTTAAATCACAATTAAAGAGTAGTACAGTAATTGCTACAAAAAGACTACTTATTATACATTCCAATAATGGAGAATAGTGGGTTCTCTGTATGGAGAAAACAAAAGCACAGTTGAGCAATATTCAGCCTGATTGCCATGATTTAAAATAGGCAGGGTAAAGAAAGAGCAAAGACAGCACACGGCTGTTAAAACGATGCAAATTTTGCACACATTTTAAAAAGTCTCTTGAGATTCTGTAAGAAAAAGACAGCATTTCTAGAATAGGGATATAACAACAAGGCAGAAAACACATGCTGTTTGTATACAATGTGTACTGTCACAAATGCCTCTAAAATATTTCTTGGAAGCTGGATAATATATTTATCTGAACATAAATAATTTCAATGTCAGATTAAATGAATAAATGCAGACTTTTAAAAAAACATTCATAAAAAGGTTTATTGATGTCTAAATCATGGATGTCCAAACTTTTGGTTTGCCTGGGCCTCACTGAATGAAAAGGATCTGTCTTGGACCGCTTATAAAATATACGTATAATGTAGTTAATGTATATAAAATCACATAATAATGTTAATGCTTACAATCTCGTGTGCTGCAATACTAGCTGTCCAGGGATGCAACACCAGGCTGGGCATGCCTGTTCTAAACATTAAGAGAGCTATTAGTCACTTAGCTAAAAAGCAACCACAAACTCTTTCTATTGTTGACTTCCTACTCCAAGAGAGCCGTTTCCACATCAGATCAAAGGTTGTTGTTTTTTTTTAAAAGGATTTAAAGTCCAAAAGGATGCATAACATGCTTGATAAAATGCCTTCTTCAATTGATATAATGTAGTACACAGAAAAATCAAGTCATTTGAAGTAAACCTACACATGAAATTACTGTGTATATATCAATACCACAAAACTTATGTGAATTCAAAACTCTCTTATTTATCATTCTTTGATTCACTTAATTTTAATTCTCTTCTATTGGATAGAATGGGAGAGAATTTTATTAATTTAACTTTATTCTCTTCGAATATCTCTGGAAACATTTTTTTTCCAAAGTTTGCTTCCTGAAAAACCTTAGCAGATAGAATCCTTTTAATCGAAGACAAATATAATTTCATATACATATAGGAAACTTAAGAAATATGACTTTCACTTTTAATGAATATAATGTATTCAATTAAATTATGTTTCTAACATGCTGCGCAAGTTCAACAGAGCCAAAAGTGATTTGCTACCTATTTTCATTTGTACTCGGTGTCCAACATATCTTGCTGCAGTGTTGAAACAATAGTGGTCCTAATACTATTCTTCCATTATGGCAATGTCCTGGTGAAATTGATTGCACCTAAACTTTCGGGAAAGAAGTCTAAGTGTGGATGCAGTAAATGAATCTTCAGTTACATGTTGCACTTGTATGCTTCAAGAAGCTTGTCCATCAGCGGAATGGAATTGGTGCTCTGAAGATGCCAAGAAAACTTTCAATGAAACCCATTGCTTTCCAGGCAATTTTCTCTGCCTGTTACGTGAAGAGAGGTTTTTCCACGGACCAGAGGGAGCGTGGTTTTGTGTGCTACCTGTATCCTGTGGATGAGGCTTTCCTTGTTTGTGCGGACCGGTTGCTGGCATGCCGCGACTCGGTACTGGTCCATGGACCGGGGGTTGGGGACCCCTGCACTAAAAGATCTTCAAACTGCTTGTCATTGATGACCCATTTAATCTGTGAATCAACAAAAATCCCTTCTTTGATCTTAACATTAGTTATTCTTGGAAACATTTGTCTCAAATAACAAAAAAAATCACTTGTCCATTGCTTTCACAAAATTTCCATTAGTACAAATTTTATGTGAAGCAAAGTTAAAAATATCTATTAGGCCAACAAGTAGTTCATGTTTTTCTATCCTGGAATCAACTTCTTTTTACTGTAATGTGATGGTCTTACATGGCTTTCCCATTAACTTATGTAAAACAGTAGCTGGTATATCTGAGCTGCATTCGAAGCAGCAGAGCCCCTACTTTTGGATCTCCACAGATATTTCAGTTGTAATATTATTGTGTAATAACTGAAGATTGCTATAAAATGGTATGTGATACATTAAATTACAGGCTACATTTGTGATTAGCAACCAAAAATCAATAAGATATACCCAAAAATGTTCAGAAAGCAAAGTCTTTTTGTCCTATTCCCCCTTATACTGATGTAACACCAAAGCCAAATGATTTAGCTAATTCATATATTTGCAAGGAATTGCCCAACAGGCTTAATAAATGCCTTTTGTATTTAAACTGTGACTGTCACATAGTTTTTACAACTATTTCAAATACTGAATTTTTCTAACTAAGAGCAGTGACAGGATATTGGCCAATCTAACATTTAAATGGTTTTCATCAGAAAATTTCCAAATTTCCAGAAAATTTCCTATTTTCGGTCACTTGGTGCTGTTAAATATAAATAGTCTATTTAAAACGCTTAGTGCATTATTATTTTTTCTTTTAAAAAACCTGAACTCTAATTATATTTCACACATTTTTTAAAGAGCAAAATAGTGCTATATCTAAGCATTATGGCCTGAAGCAATGCCAAAAATATAAAACATTTTAAAAACAGTTCAGTTTGTTCCTGCCACAGGCTTAATAATAATAATAATAATAATAATAATAATAATAATAATAATAATAATAATAATAATAATAAAGTTGGAAGGGACCTTGGAGGTCATCTAGTCCAACCCACTGCTCAGGCAGGAAACTGTCCAGTTTCTTCTTAAAAACGTCCAGTGTTGGCGCATTCACCACTTCTGGAGGCAGGTCGTTCCACTGGTTAATTGTTCTAACTGTCAGGAAGTTTCTCCTTAGTTCTAGGTTGCTTCTCTCTTTGGTTAGTTTCCACCCGTTGCTTCTTGTCCTGCCTTCAGGCGCTTTAGAAAATAGCTTGACTCCCTCTTTGTGGCAGCCCCCGAGATATTGGAACACTGCTATAATGTCCCCCCTCGTCCTTCTCTTCGTTAAACTAGACATACCCAATTCCAGCAACCATTCCAGTCCCCTAATCATCTTTGTTGCTCTTCTCTGTACTCTTTCTAGAGTCTCAACATTTTTTACATCGTGGTGACCAAAACTGGATGCAGTATTCCTAGTGTGGCCTTACCAAGGAATTGTAAAGTGGTATTAATACTTCACGTGATCTTGATTTATCCCTCTGTTAATGCAGCCTAGCACTATGTTGGCTTTTTTGGCAGCTGCAGCACACTGCTGGCTCATATTTAAATGATTGTCCACTAGGACTCCGAGATCCCTCTCTCAGTTACTACTATTGAGCAAGGTACCTCCTATACTATACCTGTACATTTGGTTTTTCTTGCCTAAATGTAGAACCTTACTTTTTTCACCATTGAATTTCATTTTGTTAGATAGCGCCCAGTGTTCAAGTCTGTCCAGATCCTCCTGTATCCTAAGCCTGTCTTCTGGAGTGTTGGCTATTCCTGCCAGCTTGGTGTTGTCTGCAAATTAGATGAGTTCCCCATCTATCCCCTCGTCCAGATCGTTGATGAAGATGTTGAAGAGCACTGGGCCCAGAACAGAGCCCTGGGGACCCCACTACACACTTCCCTCCATGTAGATACGGTTCCATTGAGGACCACACGTTGAGTACGGCCGGTCAGCCAGCTACGAATCCATCTGGTGGTGATGCTGTCTAACCCGCATTTTTCTATCTTCTCAAGTAGTAGGTTGTGGTCTACTTTGTCAAATGCCTTACTGAAGTCCAAGTAAATTATATCCACAGCATTCCTCTGGTCCATTAATTTATCACTTTATCACACTTATGCAAAATTCCACAAGGCACAACAAAAGAAAGTAACTATCACCAACATACCACTGATAAAACTGAAGAAGCTACCAGAAAAAAATAAAGCTAAAAAGCAAATGATAAAAGAAAGTGAATAGCTAAGAATATAAAAGCTGACCAAATAATTTTGGGATTGAAAACAAAATGTATTCAAAAATTCTGTTTATTTGGAACACCTTTTACAATGATCATAGAAGAAATGAATACTGTTGATTTTGAGCAGGGCTTTTCAACCAGTGGTACACATACCACCGATGGTACTTTGGCATCTGGCCAGTGGAACTCGACCATCCTAGACAAGTGGAGCATGGGACGGGAATATACTGAAGTAGCGGCAGCGTCGCAGAAGCCTGAGAGAGAACTGGAGCTGCAGCACTGTCAGGGCTCAGAAGTAGCCCCAGGATTGGTGCGCATGGCTACAAGTTGATCGTCACTTCTGCAGGGCTATGGGAGCTGGGCAGAATCCCCAGTGCTGGGCTCCAGCTGATTGGCGCTTCCGGAAGCTGGAAGTGCACTGAAAAGGAGAAGGGGGGGAGAGAGGAGAGGATCTAAAAGGTTTTGTTGGGAGAGGGCGAGCGAGGGGCTGCCCCTGCCCCCTGGATGTGCGCACAGGAGGCAGCAGGTGCCTGGCATCCCTGCTGACCATCCGTGCTTACCACTCAGAAAGAAAAGAGGCAGGAGAAGCGCTTCCCTTTCCCCCAGGACACCAGCACTCAGCACTCGCCGCCTCTTGTATGCATCCCCAGGGGGCAGGGCAGAGGCGGTGGGGTGGCCCCTCGCCGGCTCCAGGCTGCTCCTGGATCTAAGATTGACCGCGTTCTGACTTTGATGGCCCCCACTAGGTTATAGATCAGCGCCATGCCTGCCACCAGCACCTCCATGGTCCGTTCGCTGACCTAGCCTCACAGCCACAAGGATTCCCTTTCACCGGGACTGCCCCCGCCTGTGTGGGATAGCTACAGTCGGCGGCAGCATGGCCACCGGCAGCGCTGGCAATCTCACCCCCTTCTGTCATCCCTTCCTGAGCACGAAGGAAGGAAGGAGATGGGAATAGGAAGGAAGGAAGAAAAATGAGAAGGAGGAAGGCAAGGAAGGAAGGAGGGAGGGAGGGAGGGAGGGAGGGAGGGAGGAAGGAAGGAAGGAAGGAAGGAAGGAAGGAAAGAAGGAAGGAAGGAAGGAAGGAAGGAAGGAAGGAAGGAAGGAAGGAAGGAAGGAAGGAAGGAAGGAGAGGTAACTTGGTTGGAGATGCCCCAGTTCACGCAGTTCTGCTTCAATCCTGGATCCATTGAGATTTGGGCTCAAAGGAGAAAGCAATTTTATGTTCTGTTTTGTCACAGTCAGGACTTTGTTGGCAATCCAAGTTAACATTGCTTTCTTGAATTGTGAGCTCTTAGGAAAGTATCCCCTCCTTTTGTGTTGCAAACAGCCATTTCCAGTGGGGAAAACAGGAAAAAGCAGAGTGGGGGAAAACATTTTCCTTTGCTATCACAGCCACCATTTTGACTGTTTTGCTGTACTGTTGTCTGTGGACACGGGATAAACTGGGCCTGGTTTGTTCTCAGTCTTTTAAGTGGCCACAAACTACTGGCAAAAGTGGCATTTGATCACAAGGCAAGGAAGCATTGAGAAATGTTTCCCCTTTTGCATTTGATCATCCAAGAAGGGGCAGGAAAGGAGAAAGGGAAAGAGGAATTTCCCCCCCCCCCATCAAGTTGAATATGTATTGACAAGAAAAAAAATTACAGGAATATTGTTACTATTGATCAATTTAATATGGCTACTCGCTCCTAAAAATTCTGGGTAGTTTATAATATTCAGTTATGCAATTAAAAACTATGAGATTTCTTTGAACATTTCTAGAACTTTCACAAACACCACCTTTATCAAATGGTATATTATTTTAAATAGAAAACTGTAGAATCTTTCAAGAAAACTTATCTGGTTTTTTTTATGTACATCCACTTCATTATTATTCATTAATAAATGCATTCACCTTTAAGACCAAAATGCTAGCTGTTTCTGCTAGACAGCTATTTCTAAAGCTTCCTGCACTGAGGAATACACATATACATTTAGCAATATAAATTAATTTACTCGATTAATATCTGTTTTCTAACCAATTAATTCAACTTCATTCATTTGAAACGCTTAGTTTACATAGTATTGTTTAGATCAAACATATTTATTTTACCTACTTCCTGCACAGAATGTTATAGGCCATAATGAATTATTACGACATGCAGCTCTATTTGTATAGCTAAAAGATACAGTTGAATATTACATTTTTTAAAGTGGGAACCACTTTATTTGCCCTGGGCTCATAATCAGGATACTATAATGAGGTGTTTAGCTTGAAAAACTGAATAAGTCATAAACTTGTAAGTCATGGATAAGCAAATTCTACCACAGTTTAATAACTATACAAAATCTGATTTACAGAAACAAAAGTACAAGAAAATAAAACTGCAACTGGAATAGACGCCCACCAACTAAAAACCTCCTTTTTATATTTATAACTCACTTTTGCTTCCCCCAAACTCTGAACGGCGGATATTGTTCTCCCCCACTCCCCGCCCCTGCCCATGTGATCTTCACATAATAGAGAGTTTGGCCGAGAATTGCTAGCTAGTTAACTTCATGGCAAGGTAGCAACTAGGATTTATGCGACTACAAAGAAATCAGTTCGTTTCTACCGTCCAAGCTAAAACTTTATTATTTATCCTTGCAAGCAAAAGAGAAATTACGTTCTTTATGCTCTAGATTGGCATCCACTGCACGATCCGCAAGAATACAGCACAAATTGGAACGAGAAAATAAGCTTCTGAATGTGCTATTCTGAATACACATAGTTTTAAAATGAGCTCTACAAAACAAGGAAAAAGAACTCCCACGCTCGCCTGGATGAAAATTTCAAATTTGTGAGCACCCACAAACTCTACCGCAGTATCGCCTGTTAAATGCTGGTAACTTCACAAACTCTTAGCGAATAAATAAGAGAGCAAGGATTGATTAACACAGAAATCTTTACAGTAGAAACTAGGGTGGAATAATAAGGTTGTACACATGCTCGAGGAAAGACGGGAGCTGTGAGTTAAGTTTCCCAAAAGCCAAACTCAGACTTGGGCACTCATCCCGTGATAGAGCTACACAATACTCTTCCCCGTTTACACCCATCTTAGCTAGTTCTCATTTAATATTTGAAACGTGAAATTTAAACAAAATCATACCTTTCTCTTCCCCCAAATCTGCAGCGATTAATTATCCTGAAGCATAACCTTAGAAATTTAAGGGTGATTCAGGATTCTTGATAATCCCGCGCGGGTTTCCTAAATGTGGAATCGATTACCTTCCTAATCAGAAGCAACACCTCGTCTAGTGGCGGCAACGCCTTCTGGAAAAATGAGTCCTACTACCATTTCGAGCGTCCAATGAGCCACGCGTTTCGAAGAGCTTGAACTACACAACCCATAAACCCATTCTCTTCACCTGAGGTTCCAAATGAAACCAGGAGAACTGGTTTGATTACTAGAGTTTCACCTTGAACCGGAAAGAGACGGGGAGAGAATAGTTCAGTTTACATTTTGTTTTCTGTGAAATTTGTTTAGTTTAGCAGGCTTTATCTCAATAAGTATTTAACTACCTATGTATTCTGGGATATAAAAAAGCCAGGGAACGTGGACGTTAACATCTGCTATTACAGAATCTAGATTTCAAAAACGTATTAAATATAGAAAAATAAGATAAGATCTTCGTTTTCAAATTACTTGAGAAACTGAACTGCCAGCAAGCAGGCAAATTGGGGTGGACCAACAGCTGTAGAAGATAATACTAAAAGGCAATTAAAAACCTTGTCGATCTCATTGTTTTATTGGAGTGGGTGGGAGGCACGGGAAAATGACTCTGTTTGCATCATTCCTTTATTTTAAATTAAATTGCAGTTTAAGAGGATTTTCCTGGGTAGCTCTAGATCAACATGCTTTTAGGCAGAGCAACATTAATTTCTTGGAAGGCTGTACACATATTTATCTTTGTAGGCCCTGTTGTATAACAATACAGCATTATAAGGTTATTCCTTGGACCTGTATTATTCAATAAGTCACTGTAGTACAGGGATGTCAAACTCGCAACGTCATGTAACGTGTCGTGACATATCGCGACTTTTTATCCATTGCGGCAATGGGATCGGCGCGGTTTCGGCATGATGCATCCGGCCCATGGGCCGGCAGTTTGACACTCCTGTAGTCAGACACATAATAAGGACTAGCATCTTCAACATCTTCATCAGTGATTTGGATGAGGGGATAGATGGGGAACTCATCAAATTTGCAGACAACACCAAGCTGGCAGGAATAGCCAACGCTTCAGAAGATAAGCTTAAAATACAGGAGGATCTTGACAGACTTGAACATTGGGCGCTATCTAACAAAATGAAATTCAGTGGTGAAAAAAGTAAGGTTCTACATTTAGGCAAGAAAAACCAAATGCAGAGGTACAGTATAGGTACTACCTTGCTCAGCAGTAGTAACTGTGAGAGGGATCTCGGAGTCCTAGTGAGCAATCACTTAAATATGAGCCAGCAGTGTGCTGCAGCTGCATTAACAGAGGGATAGAATCAAGATTATGTGAAGTGTTAATACCACTTTATGATGCTTTGTTAAGGCCACACTTGGAATACTACATCCAGTTTTGGTCACCATGATGTAAAAAATATGTTGAGACTCTAGAAAGAGAACAGAGAAGAGCACCAAACATGATCAGGGGACTGGAGGCTAAAACATATAACAAACAGTTGCTGGAATTGGGTATGTCTAGTTTAATGAAGAGAAGGACTAGGGGTGATATGATAGCAGTGTTCCAATATCTCTGGGGTTGACACAAAGAAGAGGGAGTCAAACTGTTCTCCAAAGCATCTGAAGACAGAACAAGAAGCAATGGATGGAAACTAATTAAAAAGAGAAGCAACCTAGAACTAAGAAGAAATTTCCTGACAGTTAGAACAATTAATCAGTGGAACAACCAGCCTCTGTTTATATATGTTTACCTAAACAAGAGATTCATTAAGTTATTTATAACAACAGTGTGCAAAAAGTAACAATTAAAAGGGAGAATGATGATACCTATTACTATTAGGCCCTGGAATGAAATCTGCTCATATCATGAACAAGAGTTACTTAAAGAGATGTGAAAGAGAGTGTGATTAATCAGCATAAGAACTGTCTAATCATAAGCTTCTTCTGAATCATAATGCTGCATGAATAACCAATTCTGTGACCTTCAAATTCTATTTTCACAATCTCTTAGCATTATTTAAGCTCACTGGGAATGTTAGAAAAAAAGCTTCTGGATGGTACCCAGACTGCCAGTGCCTAATTAGAATGGTTCTGTAAACCTGATGAGACATGATTACACTAAACTTTTAAAAAGCTTTTGATATAAGAGGGTGGGGATTTCTCTGAGTTTTTAAACTTCTAGACAGTTAAATTTAAGAGCACAGTAGCCACAGTAATAAAGACCTCCGAACAAGCTTTTCAACCACGGGATGTGAGGAGTTCTTATGAATCAGTAACTGCATAAAGAGCAGGAAGAACATTGCAATAAATGGACAGTCCTCTCAAGAACGGCATGCAGGAAGTGTAGTCTCCAAGGATTAGTATAGAAGCTGATGAGTCAAATTTTTGTTGTTAAATGACCTAGAACAGTGAGGTAACTAAATTTTCAAAGCAATAAAGTTTCAAAGCAATAAAGATAAAAATGGATAGCAGAAGGATCTCTTCAGCAAAATGGTAAATATTCTTAAATGTGGAGTGCCTGGTGCTCTCTGACCTTGTTTGTTTGTTTGCATACATTTCATCACCCAGCTTTACCAGTTGGATAATGAAACATCTATATGCAAACAACTACACTCAGCGAATACCAAGAACTCCCCACTTCAACCTAGAGCTACATAATTTTTTATTATAGCTTGGTGTATATGAAGGAAAAATTATGTACATTGTGCAAAAAAATCCTAAATTTACATAAATTTATGATGTCTAACAAGGGAATGAGTAATTTAGGTTGTTGTGGATATGTGAATCAAAGTAATCTAGGGTGGCTGGCAACTCTGAAGATAATGGTAAAGATCCTGCTTATCTTCTTAGTTCAGAAGAGATCAGTCAAGTGCTGCCATCTGCTGATACAACAAGCTTTTCTTATTGTGATAACCGTATTGAATTCCCTCTGACCTGGATTATGTTTGAAAGATTATTTCTAAAATAAGGCCACAAGTAGGAGCTGTTGTTGCAAGGAAACTCTCCTTTTATAATTGTTGTATTTGAAACACTGTGATCTTTGAGACATGTCCCTGATGCAAATTGTTATTGAAATCAATATGACATACTTCGAAGTAAAAATCTACAGGACAGCAGTTTGGCAATTCCCTAATTTAAAAATCACTTTGTAATAAAACTTTGTGAGAAAGGAGCCATGTGATCTGGTACGTAAAAATCAGTAGTTGTCTGGCTGAGCTTTTCAGACTAAAGTAATATGTTTTATTAAGAAGCATAAGCTTCTTATTCTGAAAAAGATGGTACTAGACTCTTTCTAATTTTTGTAACATGATGCTATCCTAAATATTATGAGTGACAGCAAAATGAATTTTATTTTCAGCAGTGACATTTTATTAATATAAAGAACAACCATTCTTCTGTAAATATCAGGACAGCATGCAATAAATATTATAAAAAATGTTTAGTAATAAATGTATTATCATAAAAAAGCAGAAAGACAGCAGAAAAATAGATTTTCAGCACTGAGAACTAATAAGCCTTGGGCAACCATATTCTCCTCAAAGAATTAGTCATTCTCAACATGACCTTTGTCTGGTATGCAGAATGAGCATTACAATGTACTTATCAGTGTCCTTGGAATTTTTACCAAACTTGATAACAAGACACTAGAGTTAGTGAACTGCATATTTTTAAATGGCTGATACTTACCACATATGAACATATAAAGTCCTGAAGTAGGGAAGACAATAGCACCTACTTGAAAAATGCCTTATTTAGTGTCATCTGATATACTATTAAATGTATTTTAATTAAATAATAATGATCATTATTTGGGAAGTTGCAATGCTGAAGAGTGAAGCACCAAATTGTAGCTGCTTCTTTATTTGCAACAATGCTTTGGGAAGCTGCAGGGATACCATCAATATTCTTAGAAAAGAAGAACAAATCATGGCTGTAGTCCAATGTTTTGTTTGGGAGTGCACACTCTTGGCTTGAAAAAACAAAACAAACATAAACTCCTAAAATAAAGCATAATTTCTTGGGCTTCAAGAGATAATAGAAAGCATCCTTATCTGTTTGTGTACTGTTAAATTCTGATCGTTTGTCACTGATTATATCTCCAGGGTAGCTAAAACTACCATGAAAAGTGCAAACTCCAGACCAAAGTGAACAATTTTTTTAAAAAAAAAATGCAATATGCTTTCAAGATTATAATTCCAGCTATCAGCATCATCCTTGACTTCTGATTCTATGTAAAATATGTATTGGCTTTAGAATAAAAATTGAGGAGTTACCTTTTAGGTATAACTTTTAACTAACAATAAAATAAAAAATGTAAACATGAGGAAAATTATATGGTTAAAAATTAAACAAATGTTAAGCGAAACATTTCAGTGTCAGGTATTTTACTTATTCTCTTTTTTTTCCATTCTATTCAATGATGTCTGATTCTTGGCAACTGCTTGGACAAGTTAAAAGTTGTGAGACAGTTAAAATTTGTTTGCACTGTTTGGAATTGTTCTGCCAGCAGCAAGATCTGACTGCTAGCCTGGCAATGGATTCTCTTACCAACCAGGGCTGTTTTCAAGGGAGATGGAGCAGGAGAGGTCACAAGGCTTATGGGCAAAGGACTTGGATGTGACTGTTGGCAGGCCCAGAAAAGGGGAGCGAGGATTTCAGAGGAGCTGGAGGCGGCAGCAGCAAGATCTGGGGGCGAGCGGGATCCATGTGATCAAAGAAAAGAAAAGAAAAGAAAAAGATGTGGTTGCTATACAGGGATACAAGCTAAATTGAGGGCTAATCCGCATGGTGCGCATCTCTCATCTGTCTTGTTTGCTAATGTTTGTTCCTTAGATACTAAGATGAATAATCTGAATCTTGAGCTAGCCATGAACAGGGAGATGAGAGACTGCTGTACTATAATCTTGACAGAGACATAGTGAAAGTCATCTATTCTGGACAATGCCATCAGCATGACAGGTTTTACAACATTTCGGCTGGATAGGAGCTATGTTCTGAGTGGAAAATCCTGTGGTGGGGGTGTATATATTTATATTAATGAGAGATGGTGTACTCCAGTCAGTGCTCTCCTAATATTGAGTGTTTGACTGTTAAATGTAGACCCTTTTGTTTGCCAAGAGAATTTACTGTTATTCTAATCATA